AAGTGTGGGAATACGATGCTTGTTTGAAGTTCATCTGACATCATGAAACCAGTTTTCTCTGCTCGTGGGTGACTTTCAAAGCATCAGTTGGCGAAAAAAGAAACAAAGCATTGCCTGTCCAGAAGCCAAATGAAGTGAGTTAAAATTGTTGCACAATAACTCAACTGGCAAAGTAGTTCGCAATGGTCGAAATAATCCCGCAGAGCAGAGTGGCGAACAAGCTCATTTTCAGATATTCGTATTCATGTCAAAATTTCCCAATATATGTATATATCATTCTTTGAGAATAAAGCTTTCTTGGGAAAATAAAATAAAATAAAAACAGATTACTAGGAACTATTTCATAATGAGACCGGAAATTGGATTAACCATGATCACATATTTGTTTTTCCACTCATCCGATCATTATATATATATATATATCCGGCTTGCGGGAAAGCATTGTGCTTAGGGGACAACAATATTTACTGAAACGGAGTGGCGGGGATAGGGGTACAGAATGGAGTCAAACGAAGTTTAAACATTTACAACGGATAACAATAGATAACAGGAATAACAACAAATATTTTTGTTTCATTTTACACGTTTTTACATTATTTTAAGTTTTGCTTTATCGTTTATTTTACGGCTTAAGAGATTTCAATCGTACAGTATTCGCGCCACTGACTTCTTTGCTGGGCCATATCCCTTAGAGTCCAATCAACGACACTGCTTATCCCTAGGGCCCCTATCTGGAAGGCGGTCTGCACCAACCGAAGCCAAAGCTGAATTTAGCTTCTTCATACATGGACGCCTTCTCATGGTCTGACCGCCGTGACGTTTCTTTCAACCTTGTCCAGCGTGTGCAAGAAGAGTACAGAAAGGTAGACGATGGGCAGCTATACGCAAATCTTGACCAAATCATCGGAGGCGGTGTACAGCGATTACATCTTTAAGAAAACGAACCTTCGCACTCAACACAGGACGATTGACCTCGTTATTGCTTGTCCAATGTTCCCACCAGACATAGGCAATGTTTCGGAGAAATCGGTGTTCGAAGACAGACAGTTAATTTGCATCTTACCTCAGGAGAGGCCAGGTCTCGCAGGATAGTAAAGGTGTTCTAGGTTTATCTACTCGTAATGTGATCTTCGCCCCAACAACAAAACTAGCTGCGATCAAGCTCCTGAGGTACTCACGTTTCTCTACTACTTCCAATCATTGCACAGTGTGACAGTATTGTCTCTTGCCAGTCTTTACCAAGCACTTTGATGGTGTAAAACACATACCATACCTAAATACATCCATCGCCAATCGGTTTAAAAGAAGTTGGAATGCCTGCGTATGGTAACCCAACAGGAACATGTTATCGGTATATTTTAAGTCAAGAGCTTTGGTCCATGTAAGGAATTCGACTCCAAGGTTTTGTAGACCGGAACATCCTCCATGACAAATTTGAGAAGCATTTGGGATATGGGGTTGTCTTATCGCACTGCAGACGGCGAGGGGTGGCGAAAGCTGACCATAGGCTCTAACTCGACCTGAAGTATGACGATACAACACCTTGGAGGTCGACACGCTTCCCAGGAACTCCGTTCCCTAAAAAATAGTTCCATAGTGCAGTTCTATCGACAGATTCGAAGGCCGTGCAGATGAGAACATAATGACCTTTGATCTTTGATAGGCATGACGGTGCTCTGGCAACTGTTGTAGGGTGAAGATTTTATCGATACATCCACGACCGGTGAGAAACCCAACCTGCTCTTCATATGTCTGCTTCTGCAGCGTAGTGTACAATCGGCGAAGAATGACGGACGCTAAGGTCTTTAACGCCCTTAGGATAAGGCTTATACACATACGATTGGTGTAGTCACTGCACTGGCTCTTTTAAAGATAAGGACGAAATTGATTCCCCTCAGGGATGAAGGGACCTGCTCAGTGTCCCATACTTTACACAACACAGTCACTGATTATCTAGGAAGCTTTATTTAGCTATCTTTAAATAGAGCTGAGGGAAGGCCATCAGTGTTCGGTGCTCTGTGACGTCCCGAATGCTGGATATTCTGACGGACTTCCGCTTCAGAAGGTGGGTATTTTAGACGGATTAGATGGACCATCGTACGGGAATTTCTCAAGGCGGCAGCACGTGTGACCTCTGACGCGCATTGAGTTCACTAGATCTCACTGTCTGTGTGCAGGCTTACGTTAAGTTCACGTGTTTCATTACGGTCAGTGCCGGTCTTAAGTGACCAAAGTGCATCAATGAACCGTAGTTACTCCACAGAAATCCAGGGTGTCGCGACGCTACACCACTACACCACTGCACACCATGGATTCATTGTGCAAACCCATTTTCTGACTTCTCAGTTCAAATTTGTGACGGGAAAACAGTGTTTTCATTACGTGGTAGACTAAACTAAATAGGCCAACGGAATGCAGAGCAATCTTGATTAGCCAACAGTGCTGATTGATGTAATCGGATGGGATTGGTTCTAGCTTTTCAGTTAGCGCGTTCTGAAAGACAGACATGCTGGTTCGGGTAGCTTATCACAGTCTACGAGTCGTGGTTTCGTGAGTTTTAAACGCCCACTGAAGCAAATAGACAGCATACTAATTCGTTATCGGATTTGGGGGGAGTGTTCCAGTACGATCAGCAGTCTTGTATGCAGCCCCACCATTTGTCCTCAATCCGTGTCGGTCGCTTACTCCAGGAGGGTGGACGCAAAGTAGCGTACCCGCAGCAGGATAGTTCGCAGCTCGTACTGGCAAGGAATAGGCGGTGGTTGGAACATAGAGCCAACAGCCATTCCCGGTTTTCCGACAGGAATCTCGTCCGAGAGATCTCCCAGATGCACTTCAGTCGAGTTCAACCGGCCTATACTGGCATTCATACTACTTGCTAAAATCTTGACATCAGTATGATTCGCTTCAAGCAAAAAGTAGTCTAGTTTTTAGTAATATTCGTATTTGACTATATCTGGGCTACAATCCATTGGAGCGTACCCCTATCGGGGAGATGGCTGTTTACTATCCACTTTTATTCTTCATCGCGAAGCAAAAATGGACATTTCTAACAGCAGATACCGTATCAATATACCTCAATTTAAGCGACAAATTTCCACGTGTAGTCGACATCATATATGAGGAGCTCAGAACAAACAGCATGACAAAATCTGATGACATTTTGTGTTGCAGCATGAATAAGAAGCAGCCGCCAAGCAGTTGGATAATATGTGTGATGATAACAAATCTGTTGAAATGAGTTTTTGCGGGCAAATGTGATCAATAACAATAATCAGTGACAATAATCAATAACAATCAATGATCGCTAACAAACCTGTTTTCGTGTGAAGGAAGTATTTGTGATAAACAACAAAGAGCGCTGGACAGCTGTTTCGCCCTGTTTGGGACTCGTCAACAGTGCTTACCTTTTGTGTCTCTGTTAGAACTCAAACCGCGAATCCTCGGGTTGGGACTTCAAACCATTACTCGTGAGTTACACGGTCGACGGTCATAACCGTGTGCGAATGGCTCAATCATAGCCCATTCGATTGTTCAGAAGCACCAGACACTCTTGATGGTCTTGGGTGTAGGTTTCACTCATTGGGAGATTGATAATTCCTCACGAGTTCTCGAAACGGAAGTTCGCGGTTTGAATCCTGACAGGGACACGAAAGGTGCGCACTGCTGACAAGTCCCAAACAGGACGAAAATACTGTCCAGTGCTCTTCGTCGGTTATCACAAACATTTTCATCGCATGTAAATGCAGGAACTTTTGGGGAATTAACGATCTCCCAAGGAATGAAACCCACACTTAAGACCATCAGGAGTGCCTGGTTCCTCTTAACAATCGAATAGGCTAATCCAAGCTTGCTACTCTAAAATAAGTTTTCGGTTTACCAGGTACCCTTGAAAAATACACTTCAATTGAAGATTATACTGGACATAGATATTAATAAATAATGGATTATTTCATTGTGAAATACCTAACGTGAAGTTTATGATCGGGGTATTCATTCAATCCTCAAACTGCAGTGGTCTGAAACTTCTACGCTTATATGCGCATTTAAGTATAGGGAGTGATTGGTGTTTGGCTGAATGCTCATGTTATTTTCATTTGCTTGTTTTACTTTGCTCAACGCAAAAATTGAAAGCTCTTGCAGGTAGAAGAAAGTAAACATTGAAAGAGTTTGTGGTTGATAGAAAAATAAATTTCAAGTTGGCCAGCCGTGGCCAGATTTGAACCCCGATCTCAGGAAGATGTGATACTGTGTTCAATACTCCTTCACCACTGTAGCCGAAATTCAAAAGTTGTCC